ATAAACTATTAACAGATAAGACTCGGAACATTTTTTTATTTAATAGCTGGACATTTTTGGCTTTGTAAAATATACTTTGAAAAAGTAAATTAAATTTATGGTATAATTTTTTTCATGCCATCTAGAAGAAAATATTATTATAATTATTTTCTATTTTAAAAATATGGTTCCATTGCTACACAGGAATTACCATGTTTCAAAACAGAAACTAAAATTTTAAATTTAATTATAAAATTAAATTTAAAATCTATAGCTCCATTCCATTCACAAGTGATTTTTGGAATAACCTATTAAGAAATTTACTTAATTTATAAGGACAGACAATCTTAATATTTTAAGTTGTTATGGTTATGGAAAAAGCCAATCATTTTGATAAGGGATAGTTGGGTTTTAATTTCCCTAGACAACTTGTGTATCAAATATAATTTACTTTTTAAAATCAGGTTAAGTTAAGGTGGGGTAGGTGTGCCTACTCACAGACAGTGACATCTGTTTTTCATGTATCATCTTAGTTTTTCAATAATAAAAAGTTTTTGGATTTTTTTAATTGGCTGTTTAATTTATAATTTTATACACAAAGATTTCTATTGAAATTGGTCTACAGTTAAAGAGTTCTTGCAGATCTCAACAAGTGGTTGGCCATATATAATTGATAGGAAACATTGCTCCAGTAAAAGAACTGTAAATTCAAAAGATAATGAAACTCATTTAAGAAGTCAATTCACAGTGGAGTGGAGCCAAAGGCATTGTTTATTCCCTGTCAGATGTCTCTAAAATTTAATGAAATTATTAAAAAAAAATTGGATGGTTAAAAAGAGAAAATATTGTTAGACCATGAAAGATGTCAGCATATCAGGTTTAAAAAAAAAACTCACAGCATCTACTTTGAAAATAGAAGAAGCAATAAAACAATTGAAAAACAAATGGATCAAAACAGGAGTCAATATTTGTGACAGAAATAAATTGGCTGAATGAAATGAGCTTTCCATACAGAAAAAACAAAGGAAAAGCATTTTAATCAATTCATAATGATACATTTTCCATTTATACAGGGTGACCCAAAAAAACGGGAACTTTTTAGCAATCCAATAAAACCAAGAGTGATGGAAGAAAAATATTTTATTCATAGTAATTGAAACCTTAAAACATTTAAGAAACAATGATGGAATTTTCATTTTTTTAAAAATTACGTCCTGTAGATAGCGTCCTCCTGTACATACTTGAAATCTGCTGTTGAGATTCCTCATTGACTGCTGCAAATTCTCAGCTGGGATACTGTGAATTTCATCTTGAATTCTAAATGGTGAAATGTTTACTTGCTCAAGGTCACTGTCTCGCAGTGCTGCCACTTGCTCATGTCTGGCAATACACACTTCAAAAATTCCCATTTTTTGGGGGTCACCCTATATTAGAGTTGTTTCTAGTTTGCATGAAAAACCAAGAAAAATCAATCAATGAAACTTGCCTTGTATGTCATATATATGTGCTAGTTCAGTATCTGTCTTTTGCTGATGGCAAGATGATCAAATTTTAAATCTAAATTGTTTGTTCATTTAAAATACTATATTTATTAGGAAATGTATTTAGTTTATATACAGAAAGTCTTGAAAAGCCATCAAAAGGCCAGGCATTTTAACACTTTTCCTGTTACTCGGGGTTTGTTGTGAAACAGAAAGGGAAATTAGACTGTCAGACACAGATGCACATCCTTTTCTTTTTTTTTTTAAATTGTGTGCACATGAATATTTTAATTCATTTACAGATTTTAAAATATTCATAGAAAATTTTTTTTTAATTTTAAATATAAATTTATCTACTACTGAATAATTTCCGAAAAGTTCAATAAATTTTAATAATTATCTGATTGTTTTAGGGTTTCAAAAATGAATAGGTTTCCACTGAGAAATTAGTCATACTTTATGCAACTCCACTTGTGGACATTAAATATATTTTCATTTTTTTTTTTACAGTTTAACTTAAATTCCCTTTATAATAAGGTGGACATTTACTTTGTGGCCATCTCTGTTTTCAGGCCCATAAATAGAATAGTTTGATATTGATATCTGATAGACATGAATAGATTGATATCAACAGATAGAAACAAAGTGAAATATTGATAAGATACCAAAGCTTTATCCCTGTAGATAAGAGGAAAGCTGATCATTTTTATTGACTATTTTTATTTTATTTCATAGCTATACACTTACATTTTTTTCTTCAATTTCTTTGCTTTTATTACTTAATCTAGAGTAGGGTGTTGCTCAAACTGAGTCGGGAAAGGAATGTATTATTCCTATGTCTTATTTTGAACTCATTCAAAATGTATGTTCCTTTTTCTCATCTCCAAGTTTGATATTATTGTTCAGCCCAAGTTAGGAATTGACCAGACTGAGTGGGAAGGGAATGTATTATTCCAATGTCTTATTTTGAACATGGTCAAATAGTGTGTACATTAAATGATGCAAGTACATGTAAGTTGCTCAGAGATAACACAGACATATATTACATATACATATGTAAAGTTTCGCACAGATGGTGTGTAACAGACAGAGAATCAGTTCTTTTATAATATGAAGGTTTGTATATGGATGGGAATGTGGCAGAGTGAGTCTTAGAACATTCACATTCGCACCGTGAATTAGACATTAAGGACATCGGACTATACAGGGATGATGGGCTCATGGTAGTGAGAAGCTCCACAAATTTTAAAATAGATAAAATTAGAAAGATAATATATAGTGAATCCAGAAAACTAAACTTAAAAACTACAGTCAATACTAAATTAAAAAGTAACTCTAGACTTAATGAACAACATATGAAAACCTAGCACTAATCCCTTGTATGTACACCCTAAGTCAAACCACCCTCCATCTATAATTAAGCATATACCCACATCAATAGAGAAAAGAATCAGCATGGACTCTGCTAATAAGGAAATATTCCAACAACTCAGTAATTTTTATAAAACAGCCCTAAAAAATAGCGGATACAAAAATGCTAACATAAATTATAGAAACAACAGTACTAACCAGAAGAAAAACAGAAAAAGGAAAATCATTTGGTATACCCCTCTGTTCAACCAAATGGTTAGTATTAAGCTAGGACATAAGTTCCTAGCCTTAATTGAAAAACACTTTCCTACTAATAGCAGACTTAGCAAGATCTTTAATAAAAACACCTTAAAATTAAGTTACAGTTGTACTGAAAATTTAGAAAGAATCATAAAAAAACATAATAATAAAATCCTGAAAAAACATGCATGTCAAAACAGTATTAATAAAAATCTTAAACTAAAATTAGACAAAAATAATGAAAAATTATGTGATTGCAGAAACCCTGAAGACTGCCATTGGAAAATAAATGTCGCACAAAATCTATACCAATGCACTATCTCATCCATTGAGAGTCCTAACACTGATAGGATATACAGTGGTTCAATGAAGAATGAATTTAAAATCAGATGGAGACAACACAAAAGCTCCTTCAATAATATTAGAAATAGAAATCTGTCATCCCTATCCAAATATTTTTGGCATTTAAAAGAAATGAATAAAACACCAAAAGTAAAATGGAAAATAATAAATAGAGCAAGAACTTGTAAAACCTGGGATGACCCATGCCCTTTATGCCTACACATTATTAAGTTTCTAAATAATGAAAATTTATTAAACCATAGACATGAGTTAACGGTTTTCTGCCAACATAACAAATTTTCGCATTAAATAATTCGCATAAAAAAAAATTAAATTTCATAGTCTAATAAAAGGTTTAAAAGCTTAGCCCAATCATAAGATAGAAAAACCCTTTAGGAAGTCATCCAAAAAAACAAATTGTAGTTCAGTGCGACACGTTTATGTTCAAAACAGCCCTTTAGGAAAAAAAATAAATAGATAAATAAAACAAAATTCTCTAGACACTTAACGACATATTATGGTGCCAAAAGCTATCTTTCACTGTGACTGACCAGACGATGTGCGTACATAAAATGCCATCATTCGCTTTGAAATGGATACCCCAACCCTACTTCGGCTTGACCTCTTTCTGAAGGTGACTGATATGTGGATAAAAATTAACTCTTGGGCCCCTTATCAAAATGGTGGACCCAGCCATTTCCATAGTAATTAATTTTGCGAAAGAACATGCTTATAAAGATGCATAAATTTCAAGATTGGTTATTCCTAAATTTTCGCTTGAGGATGAAACAGCTCTTGATACTTTAATTCAATTTAATTTTAATAATTATATTGAGGTTTTCGGCTCTCGTTTTTGAAACATGAGAACTCTTATGTAGCGAAGGAATCATATTTTTAAAAAATATATATATATATCTGTTTAATCATTTAAGCAATACAGCCACTAGAAAGCACGGGATTACTGTGTGTTAGAGAATATGAGAAAAACTACTATTAAGGAGAGAGGACAATAAAAGAACAATAATTAAGAAGGTAGAAAATAACAATTGACATTGTATTTGAATTTTTGAAGATCATAGTTGACTGGGGAGCAAGAAGCCAGAAGAGAATTCAGCAAGTAAGAAGTGTGATAGAACTGTTAGCGTTGAACTTACATATAGCCCTTTTAACTGTAAAATGATGACTCTGCCATCGATCTAGTACTGCACTTAAATTCATAAAATCTCAATACCATAGCAGAAAGTTCATCAGAACAATTATCAGGAAAGTATTTATAGAAAAGGCACAGGGAAGCTATGTTACTTGGGTAGGAAAGGAACTGAGATGCCAGATCAGGACACTGGATAATTTTTACACTCCCTTACCACCAGCAAATGGAAAAATTTAAGAATACTAGTAAAGGTCGATAAAAAATAAATCAAAATTTCCATGACTCTCACATTCAACAAAACCTATTTGAAGGAAAGGTGACTGCCCAAATATACATTATTTTTATATATATATATATATATATATACACACACATATGCACTCTTATCTTGTATTAAAATCATATGATTCTGACTCTTAATTTTTTTCTTGTTACAGAGTTCTATGCCAGAACTTGCTCGACATGTCCTTGCAGAAGTGCCTCACCAAGTTGTGAATTATTTTCAGATGATGAAAATTAGTCCTAATCATCCACCTGTACCTGCTTCATAAGTGCCACATTTCGAACAAAGGAAAACCTATTCATTTCTGGGGCTCTTTTTATTTTTTTAAAATTTACATTTTATTTACATTTGTTTAACAGTTTTAGAGCTTTAATAATCTTTTCTTGGTTGGAAAAAAATGCTTGCGAAGTCAGAATAAAAAAAACAAAAAACATGCAAAATAACTGCATTGGATTCCAACACAGAAACAGTTTTGTGCTCACTTCTTGTTATACTTTTCTTATATATATAAGTAATTGATATACAAAAATAATAATCTCTGAATGGGGAATTCCTTTACCTTTATTCAAATTTGTAAGACATTTTGCTTTTACACTTTGTGAACTTATATTTTATTGGCAAATAAAAATATTGCTGCTAGTTCATAATGAGAAATTGCCTTGTCCAAATAATTTGCATTATGCATGAACATTCCAAATTTGATTCATAATTTTGACTTCCAACATGGAAATTGAAAGTTTTCTTTTTCATAATGATCTTGATAAAAGCTTTAAATAAGACTTATTTGCTGTCTCAAATTATTTTTAATGTTTCTCTTCTGTAATATTTCATATTATTTTATGAAACCTATAAAAATACCAAATTTGTTATGATATTACAAATATATAAGAATGTGCATCCTAACAACTTGCAAATTTTAATAATAGCAAAAGCTTCCAAAAGTATACATTTTTCTGCTGTTGTATACAAAGCAAATCAATGCATTTTCCCATTATTGCAATAGTTAATATTTCCATGTCATTCAATGATCTTTTTCAGATTCTAGAATGTAATTAAACTTTTTGTTTGTTTGTGTGAATACTCGCAATATAAATAACATCAGAAGGATTATTTAAGATAAAAAACAATGTGGTTTAGGGGTTTAGCAATAAAATTGTCTTGTTTACTCTCTGGAATATTGCAGCTCAAATCCTTGTCTTAGAATATAAGACAACTGTCATAAATACAAGAAGTTAAAAAAAGATCTGATTTACAATTTTAAATTGATATTAAAAAAATATTTAGATTTTGCATTCTTTTTTTTTTATATAGCTGGAAAATGATTTCTTGGTTATTTGGAAAAGAGATTTCATGTTTATGCTTCATATTGTTTACTTTTGTTTGGAAAGAAATTTTTTGTTTATACTTCATATTGTGTACTTTTTGTTTACTTTTGATGGGAAGAGATTTCTTTTGCATTTGAGTAAGAGATTTCTCATACTTCAAATTGTTAACTTTTGGTGGGAAAAGATTTTTTGTTTATTTGAGGAAGAAATTTCTCATTCAAATTATTGGGAAAAGATTTTTTGTTTATACTTTGGTGGGAAAAGAGTTTTTGTTTATACTTCAAACTGTTTACTTTCTCTACAAAAAATTTTTGAAAACTAGTCATCTTTACTGAATTATCATCAAACTCAGTGATTTTGTTTACTTTTGATGGAAAAAGATTTCTCATACTTCAAATTGTTTACTTTTGGTGGGAAAAGATTTTTTTTGTTTATTTGAAGAAGAAATTTCTCATTCAAATTATTACTCATCTTTACTGAATTCTCATCAAACTTGGTGATGAAGCAGTCAAATAGTTGGGAAACATTTTAATAATTTACCTTTTATACCAAAACAAAAAGCAGAGGCCTTGATATTTGTTGTTTAATTAAGAAATTAATGGATCTTTTACACCAACATTACTTTTTATTACTATAAAGACAACATTTAATGGATGCATGTATTTGAGCAGTTATGCTTGACTTTTTTAAACAGTGAAATTATTGTCTACCATCAAAGAAAGATACACATTTCTTAAATGAGGTTACTGTGCCTTACTTTGTTATAATGGTTTCCAATAGGCTAACTCTGTTTCTCCATTTTTTTTTTTTTTTTTTTTTTTTTACTTCTGGGTGTACATGTTGAATAACTAAAACTCTGGAGCACACATCAAATTTTAATAAGGAAAAATAAATCATGAAAATTGAAAAATATTAAATTTTGGTTTAGCATTCCCAAAGAAGATTAGTGGTACAGTTTTCATTTAAAGGGATTTATGAAGACTCTGTTATTTTATTTTAGAGTCTGATAATGACTGATTTAAATCCCTTTGAGGAAGCAAAATGGTGATATCCACTCATTCATAAAGATTAAGGAATTTAGCATCCAGTTAAAAATATCAAATTATAAAGTCTTGACTTAGATATAGAAACCATGTGCTTGGTATCTATAGCTTTTTAAAAATAAAGATTGTTTAATATAAAAATAATGCATAAACTACTCTTCTGTTAACTTAGTGTGCACCTGCCTACCATTCAGGGTACATTAGTGTATCCGGGTGCACAGATTGAAAAATGCTGGTAAGGTAGATAACAGGATCTTTAAAAGTGATTTCCTTGATTGGAAAATAGGGGATACAGGTTGATTTTCTATCAGGAGGCAAATTTTTTTAATAAGATTTCTTGATCTCTAGACTGATAAACATTAGGCTATCTATTAGGACCACATGTACCAATTAAATATAACATAGGATCTATTGTTTAAAGAAAAAAATACATATATATCCACAAATATACATCAAACCGACTCTCTAGTCTTTAATTTGTATTCCCTGTTAAATGCAGCAAATTCTTTTGAATAATTAACAATTTTCAAATATATATTTTTACCCATATTATAATTTAAAAAATTGTTTTCAAAAATGATAAAACAAAATGACATTTTTGTTGTTCCCTTTGGAAGTAAACTTTTGTAAGAAATATGGAAAAGATCTGACATTTATTGCTTTAAATTTTTAATGACTTTTTGCAGATTTGATATGCTTTTATTTTTTCTGAATATATTTTTTCTTTTGAATTTTTTTTTTTTTTTTTTTTTTTTTACCAAAACAGCCTTTTTCATTAGTCCTTGTGATTAGTCAGTGTTCAAGGATTTTAGTGTCTTTAACTGAGAGATGGAGGAGGATACATTTGATATAATTCTGTTTCCTTCACTTGACACATTTATACAAAAGCAGGCAAAGAAATTGTTACTTTTAATTTTCTTTACCCAAGAACTTGTCTCATAAAACACTTGGCTCTTATACAATTATCTTTAAACCATGTCTCAAGGCTGTTCAAAAACTCAAATATTTAACTTCATTTGCATCACAGTGATGCAAATAACCCATAAAAAAACAACACAGCAAATTATATTATTTTGATTGACCTGTTACTTAGAAAGGTTACTTTGCTACTTATGTAAATGTAAAACCAGTTTTAGTTGTCAATAATATAAGTGATGGATGCCTATAAAAATATACTGTTATTTATGGCTAATTTGACTATTGTTAGTGTTATGTGACAATAATTGTAAGTAAAATGCCACACTAAAATAACTGTTTTAAGTTTTCTGAATATCAGTGCCACACATACACACACATTAATATTTATAGAAATCTGTTTGTTTTTTTTTTACTAATTTTTTCCTATAAATTGAATTTATATTTCCCAGCCTTGGAATTTATATTTCTGGCTTGCAAAATTAAATAAGTTAAATGAGTATATAATTTAGCCTGACAGATACAGGGTAAATTTGAGACTTATTTCACAAAAATAAAACAAAATAATAGTATTTCTGGTGCCAGAAAAAAAACCCTCCCCTCATCTAATTCTCAAATACTACATTTTTTTTATTTTTAAGCGTACTTGTTTATTAATTCCCCAGATTTTCCAATATTTCAAAAGTTCTGAATTCATTTGTAAGAACACTAATTTTACCAAACAGGTGTTACATGCTTTTGTATGTGTGTGATATATAACTTTAAGGTGTGGTTTTTTGGGGGTTTTTTTGTTTTTTTATGTCCATAATCTGTTTAAACTTGCCGACAACTAATCTTGTAGTTATGTAAGAAAACTCTGTCATGTAAAATTTGAAAGGCTCATAATGAACTGATTTTTTTTTTTTTTTCATAGGTTGTATGAGACTACTCTGTAGTATATTTGTTTTTTAGTTCACACAATCAACTTATCTGATACACCACCTTTTCTTTTACTTTTTTGTCTTCTTTCAAAAGTAGGCACAGGTACTTTGAGAAATTTTTCATCAAATGTTGCTTACTTTATTTTGTTTATTTTCTTTTTGCTTTCAATTCGTTCTCTTTGTTGAATTGTTAGTATTATCCTTAAATTTTGGAGCAAGTTTATCACAAAAACAAATGAAAAAAAAAATTGAAACTTTTTGTACTCATTTATTGTACCAGGTAACAATTATGAAAAACTTCCTTTTTCTCTTAAGACAGCATTTTATTTTATTTCTTTCAAGGCATTTAAACTTAGTCACATTTGAATAATATATATATATATATATATATATATATATATATATATATATATATATATATATACACACACAAGTTTCATTACAAGTGACTGACAAGCTACTGCAGTTAAGTTTTTTATTCAATTTTCTTGTTTTTTCATATAATTTTCTTCTTTTCTGGAAATAAATTATGTAGAAATTGTCCAAATGTTCCTAATGTCCAAGCATATTAGGCTATACTTTTTAGGCATTATTAACAAAGATTTTATTTTTACTTTTTACTGAATGTATGGATTGTTTTATATATGTATTTAGAGTTGTAAGAATGTTTTATTTTCCAAACACTGTCAGCATTATTAATAAAAACAAAAAACTCAATAGCATCAACTATAAACACGGCCACATAAAACGATCCATACATTCAGTTAAAAGTAAAAATAAAATCATCTGTGAGGATGCTAAAAGCATAGCCAAAAGTTCTCGGACACACAGAACACTTGGAAAATTTCTGCATAATTTATGTCCAGAAAAGAAGAAAATTATTAAGAGCACAAGAAAAATTAAATAAAAAAACTTAACTGCAGTACCTTGTCAGTCATTTTTAATGATACTTGTATAAAAGAGGGATTGCTACCCAAATACACAATTTTTTATATATATGTTTTGGAAATTTACTTGAACAAGTAAATCATTTTACTTTCATTATTTTTAAGTAAAAACTTCAAGAAGAATTAAAATAAAATTAGTCTCAATATTTCTATGCTTACTACAAAAATATATAACTTGAGATTAATAAAATTCGTTTTTTGCCTAAAAAGAAATTATTTGCTTTACACTTTTATTGTATTTTTCAAAATAAATAAAAAATAAATTAAAAAAAAATTATATAAAGTTAGCATTTTATTTTTTATCTTCTATTTACCCTCACTATATTCTTGATTCAGGACTAATAAATCCTTAACTTCAAAAGAATTTTTTTTTTTTTCTCTCTCTTTTCTTTCTCTCCCTATTTCTTTCATTTACACTCCTTCAAAGGAGGAGACTGCATTTAACCAAAAATTCAGTGAGTCAGTTTAATATAATTTTTATATTTTATTGAAAAGATTTAAATAATAATATCAGTAGAGAAGGAGATGTTACTTCGGATTGTGTCTCAAAGTGATTGCAGGTACAATTTCATCTTCATTGAATAAGAGTTCTCAAACTTAATGACATATTTAAATGATTGTCCTGTAATCTATATAAATAACCCTTTCTATGCTTTATTAGGTTTCTGTGCTTTTAGGTTGCAACTAAAAAAAAAAAAAATCTACCTTAAATTTTTATAAGTGATCTGACTGAAACTTTGTCATGAAATTTAATCAACTAAAACAATTAAGCTTCATATGAATGCATTTCTCACTTGTTGCAAAGGAATAAAAAAAAACATGAAATAAATTTGTTTCTTTTCTTCTATATATTCATGATAGACTCATTATTCTTGACAATTATCTTGAAGCTTAATTAAGTCCATTGGGTATCAGACCTGTTTTTAAGCCCATCCATCCTACAACTGAGATTAACTGAAAATAGAATTCAAAAGAAAAAATAAAAAGATTAACTGAAAATAGAATTCAAAAGAAAAAATAAAAAGATTACAGAAAATAGAATTTAAAAGACACAAGCTTTTGAATTGCTGTTTTGAATCACGAGGCTACACGGACATCCATGCATATTTAGAATATCTTAAATTAAGATTTAAGATATTCTAGATATACATGGATGTCCGTGTAGCCTTGTGATTATTAGTAGAAAAAGTGGGATTGGTATGCTGAGTTCAAATTCCAATTGAGGCTGTTGCATCTACTTTTACATAAATAGCCTTGGAAAAATATGAATTCATTTCATTCTCCCAGTTCGGGGTTAAGAGCAGGACAGACTGGACTCTCTAGGCTTGGTTGGCTAGGAGAGAAAGAAGACTGAATTCAAAACCAACCTGAAGAGATACAGGTTCTATCATGCTAGACATCTGCTGCTCCAACGAGTTACAGGACTCATGATTCAAAATGAAATATCTCTTGAAAATCTAGTTATTTCAAAAATTCTAAGGCTTACAGCCACATCACATTGAAACACCAGTTCTCATATGATCACCACAGTTAAGCAAGATCAAGCCTGGTTAGTGCCTAGATGGGTGACCACCTGGGAATACAAAGTACAGTAAGCTTGGGTGTGTAGATGATGTAATGAATAACCACTCAGAATGAGAAATTGGAGAAATGAGTTCCAATTCCAATCAGGTTCATTATATTCACTTACACACATTTGGAAACGAATCCACCTCTTCTTCCTCCAGCTATGGGTCAAATAGTAGAACTTGTATTAGTAAATCATTATTATCTCCAAAACATTCTTACAATCTAGCTTTAAAAAGGCCTGATAAGCCGTAAAAAAAAAAACAGTCAATCAATTCATAAATTCCATTAAGCATCAAAATGTTCTAGACGAAATCAAATGTGTTTTTATTTTGTGTTGTAATTATTTTACCCTAAGCAAGGTAATAATGCCACTAAGGGGTTACTAGGTGCAAAAGAGAATGAGAAGGCTTTAGGAGAAGGAACTGGAAACCCAATCCTAAACAGGGAACAAAGGATAAAGCTGTATCCATATTCAAAAGATTGGAGATATGTAACCTGGGCATGTTGATTCCAAATCAACATGTCTTCTATTAGTTAGAAGTACTCACTTTTTGACATATGTCTGCTAGCCTGAAAAATGCCATACTAAATCAAGTACACAGATTCCAAATCATTACTTAAAATTACCCTGGCACATCATATTTTTTTTTATTAATATAATCATAGCATATTTTTGTTAAAAGTAAATAATTGAACTGGTAGGATTAATTCCTGTTAGTTGTGGCTTAAATTATCTGGTCTCCTAGAATGGAGAACTATGCAGACTTAATATCAAAAAATGGCACGCCAGATGTTTCTTAAAATGCAATTCTTGGATTCTTATCTCGATTTTTTTTTCCTGATAGTACTGTAGGCTATGAATAGGTTCTAGCAAAATATATCCAAGATGGAAGTGAGGTATCAAGGCTGATTAACCAGATGTAACAGGTGACTTGACTACTGTTGGTTTTACTACAATAGGGCACATGCTTTGTGCAAACACTTCTATAATAGGTTGGAACAGTGGCAGACCTACATTTTTTCAAGCTCTGAAGCTTGAACAGATATGGAAGCCCCTTCAAAAGTAACAATAGGTTTGAGGATCCAACTACCAAAATGTAGGCTAGGAATAAATTCTAGCAAACTCAACATGCCCATAGAACTGAGGGTTCGGGTATTGGAAGCCCCTCACCAATTTAGAAATTTGACCAATTACAAGGGGATTTTCAGGCCATATGAAATGGGTATTAGCAGATATTGTAAGATCAACATTAGCTACTTATGATTCTATCACTAAAATGGCCATTGATTTTGTTAAAAAATTGATTCAAGGGCCCCTCTGGAATTTTAGAAGCCTTGAAGATTAAAAGCTTCATTAGTTTCATAGTAGATCCACCACTGGGTGGGAACATGCATTTTAGAGAGAAAAAAAATTATTGAAAAATTTCTGCAGATATACCAATTATATAATCCTGATCACCTCCTAGCACGTTTTAGAAGAATAACTTACAAAACAGTAATAAAACAACTGATATGAAATATCCAAGTAATTTCAAAGTAATTTTGAATTAACATTAAAGGTAAAAAAGTGGGGTCATAATTATACACAAACACAAATTCAGAAATTTTTAATTCAGCTGAAAAACCTCTTATTTAAAACAGCAAGATTGCAAATACACTTAATTAACACAATAAAAATTTGAAAATAAGTTTTAAAGCTAATTAAAAGAAACATGCATGGTCAAACACTCAGTTCATTTCTATTCCTCAATTTTAGGAAAAATTGAATATTTTAGTGATTTATCTGTACAGGATTGAAATTTTAATGTATAATATGGTACTTTTAAAAACAAAAAATGTCATAGGGTTGGATGTGCTATGACTCAAGGACGTGCTATGACTCAAGGATACAAGTTATTCACTGTTTTTAGCTTCAGGAACACAAGGTCATATACACATAAAAATACAGTAATTAAGATGGAATATGTCAAAACCAGTTGAATGTTTAAAAAAGTTTTGACTATTCCATTTTCAACGTTTCATTCAGCAAGAATCAGTTATTCTGGTGATGCTCTCATTGAACGAAGTCACTTATTGGCCTTCATGCTGGGATCAATGAACTAGTCTCAGGGGATTACAATTCTGTGGCAGCACCTTCCTCATTGCACTAAGTGATGATGGGTTGGTGTAATATCAACACCATCATAACAGTGGTCATAGGGTCTGGGCAATTTTTGTCCCTGGCCCATATGTACATGTAAGAAAATGCCACATAAAATCCTTTTGTCACATTCTATAAGGTAAGGTAAATAAAATTTAACTGCTTTTCATATATTCCATTTTAATTTCTTCACCAAACAATATGGGTGAGTTTAAGTGCAGTACTATATTGGCAACAATATCTCACCATTTTGCAGCTGAAATGGCTAAATGTAACCATAAGTTCTATGCTAACAGTTTCTTCTATCACACTTCTCGCTTGTGGAACTCTCTTCCGGCTTCTTGCTTCCCAGTCAACTTTGATCTTCAAAAATTTAAATGTGATGTCAATCTTCTGTTTTCTTAATTCTTGTTCTTTTATTGTTATCTCTTCTTAATAGTAGTTTTTTTATATTTTCTAACACTCAGTAAACACCTTGCATCCTAGTAGCTTTATTGCCTTGATTAAAAAAAAAAAGTATTTTTTAAATCACCTGTTTATACATGATCTCAAATTGGAAGCCATTTTGAAATAAAGAAAACAGAAGGCAATATTATGAATAACAGAAAAAACAAACAAGGATTGTGCTTATAGTTAATAGTTTTATCAATCTTTTAATAAGGTCATGTAAAAACAATAAGATAGTCATAAAAGAAAATATTAAAAGCAAGACAATTTAATGAAGATTTGAGTTTACAATAATAAGAGGAATACATAAGTGATTTTACTTTAATGGCAATGATAGTTTAGTTTGTTTTTGTTTGTTTTTTGTTTTTGTTTTTTTGCTGGGGAGGGTAGAATTCAGAAATTGACTTTTCTAATGATATTTCAGGGCTGGTCATATTTAGATACAAAAATCAAAGAAAATCCATATAAAGAAAATATAGATTATTAATATTAATAAATGGTGTTACTGTATAAAAATTAATTTTACTTCCATAATCTAAAAGTTATTTTTGAGTAACCGATTTGGAAAATTGATATGGTGCTTGCTATAAGATTACAGTTAGCAGGCAAGTCACCCAAGCCATTGCTTGTAAGTTTAATTCTCAATGAATGCCCAACAATTATGACCTTGTACCAGTGCAAGGTAAACTTAGTAAATTTATTTTTAAAGATTGGCACAGAGACATATCTCCACCCTTGTCTCCAGCAATCATATCCATAATGGATAATTTTACTTTTTTCTAGCTTCTAAATGTGAAACAGGTTTTTTTTTCCTAGTTTGTGTAGCTTATGAGTGCATGAAGGGATGTTGCATGTGTAGTTGGAGTTTTTAATTAATGCTCTTGAGCAGACCAAGTTTGTGGATTTTACCTTTATAGCAAGCCTTAGACACTGACAGTATGTTTACGATCTGCACCAACATTTAAATCCAAACAAGAGATTTTACAAGTAAACGATTGTACTGAAAGTTTTGATCCAGCCTTACAAACTGTCACTTGGAATAACAGCCAAACTGAAATTCTTTCCAAGGGGTCACACCAGCAGGTGACCTTAATGGAGTGGACTTATCATCAAATGCCAGACGTGACAAAAACCACATGTCCATAGTTTACATTTCTAACTGCCGCTCCCCAGTTGCCGATTCCTCTGCATCCACATCTTTGTCTAACTGCAAACTGGCTTCATGTTCACCATATTCTGGGCACAAGTCAACGGCAGCTGTACCAGTTTGAGAATGGCATCACAGACACCTTTGAGTGGTTCAATACAAACCCCAAATGGCAAGAGGAAAATGTAGAGGAAAGCTATCATGAATCCAACTGGCCAAGCTACGAAGATGAGGACCAAGAACCAGATGAATCCCCACAAGAATCCAGGACAGCACTGGGCCATTTTGATGTCACTTTGGCTAAGGAATGGTAATCTCAGGAAAAATCGAAAACCAGCGATACGCTATACCTGTTAAAAGAAAATAAATATAGTCAGGTAAATAATTTAAAGTATATATATATATGCTAATATTGAGGATTTTACAAACATACAAACAAACATGATAAAAAAAAATACAAATTCATATAAAAATGAAATACTTGCAGAGAATCTTTTCATTATATATATATATATATATATATATATATATATATATATATATATATATATATATATCAAAGTATATAATTGGTATATACGGAATGAATTCCAATAACCAACAATTACTATTCTTAAAATATTATATATAAATATATACTTATTTATATTTAAGTATATTTCTGTTTGTATGAATGTGTTTATATATTTGTATGTTAGACTATATGTATATTGCTGTGTGTTGGTATTTGAAGGTATATTTATGTATCTATATGTTAGTACGTTTATATATGTATTTGGTTGAGTGTTGTTGTATTTTTATGTAAGCATGTATATATGGGTAGTTGTTATTGTAGATAGATATATTTATATATATGTTTATTTGTAGATATGTATGTATGTGTGTATATATATTTATGTATGTTTGTGTATGTATATATATGTGTGTGTGTTGGCACCTATCATGTATGAGTTTGTTTGTGTGTATGTGTGGGTATGGAAACTTTGGTATATCATGACTGTTTTTATATATGTAGTATGTGTGCATAAAAAAGTCTGTGTGTATATATGTGTGTGTATTTAGGTTTATATGTATATGTGCATGCATGTGTACTTGTTATCATAGATATGTATATGTGCGTATATGTTTATGTTTATATATTTATTTGTATGTATTTCTGTATGTATATGTATGTATGAGTGTATATTTATGTGTGTTAATTTGTTTTTGCTGCCGTGTATATATATATATATATGTATATATCTGTGGGTTTCTTTATCCTGTTTTTCTTTGCCTAATATATAATGAAA